GTTCATAACTAGATAAGTTATGAATAAACTTGTCAAGTTATGATTCATAGCCAGATAAGTTATGGACAAAAACTGTAAATTATGAATAATAACTTGTCAAGTTATGATTCATAACCAGACAAATTATTAACAAAAACAATAATTTAACTTATTTATTAATTTATATAAATTATTGACCTATTAATTTTAATTCATCCAAAATCTTAACATATTTTTCTCCTTCTCCCTTTAAATTAAAAACTCGAATATGCCGTGGGACAAGGCTTTCGTGTGTTAAGAGCGCATATGTGCAGGCCCATAATGGGAACTTCCCAACCGCCGATAACCGAAGCTCCGTTGGCTTAACTTCTACTCTGTACTCACCGACCATCATTTCCTATTTCCTTGCTATGAACGTCTCTGTAAAATCCCTCGGAAAGTAAAACCACCATTCAAACCCTAGATTCTTCTAGGGCTAGGGTTAGGGTTAAGGTTCCTCTTCCTCTCCCGCCTGCCATAACTAGACCATGCCTTCCTCGCCCAAGTTCTTCCGCGCGCGCCAACCGCACTCCGCTCGCAGATCCACCGTCCTGATCGTCGCCGGCTGCCTCCTCGTCGGGATCGCGGGCTTCGCCTTCGGACTCGCGTCACTTTTCCGGCCGATCAAGTGCTCGCACGGTGATCCCAGATCGGTGAGGGTGGTTTGGGAGAGAGGTTCCGGTGGCGGCGGCGGCCGCGACGGACACGGCGCCGTTTCGGATGGTGGTGGGAACAATCGGCGTAAGGTCATGGGTTTTGTCGGGATTCAGACTGGCTTCGGATCGGTCGGTCGGCGACGATCTTTGAGGATGACTTGGATGCCGTCCGATCCTCAAGGACTTCGAAGGTACATTTTTTTTTTCTTTTTCAAATAATTAGGTTGAATCTGTTTCGTCAAGTTGATCAAGCGGAAAATGGTGCCATCACTTTTATTGCATGTTCTCTCTAAGACTTTAACGATCTAATGTTTTGAGTAATGCCATATTATAGCATAGCATGTTTGAGTAAGGTAGCTCTGTTATGGAGGAACAATGTGTAAAGTCAAAGGGACAATTTTGGGACGTATTTCTTCCAGAGTTGCTTTTTTATTTTTTTTTGGTGCGAGAGTGACACTTCTCGGATGATAGTTACATTTTTATTTCTTAAAAGATTCCCGTATGAACGAGGCTAGAAGATGGACTGTTAAGACTGTAATAGGATTTAGACGTAGGTTTATTGGTGTCGCTTTGGTGAAGGATTGAGTGACAATTCCTTC